CTGACTCACAGCGCCCCTAGAGGACAGAGTGGAACTGCACCACAGGGTTTCCAAGGCTGTCGATCTTCACAGAAGCAAAGCCCAAACCACACCCACTGCCATGGAGTCGATTCTGACCCACAGCGCCCCTAGAGGACAGAGTGGAACTGCCCCAGAGGGTCTCCAAGGCTGTCAATCTTCACAGAAGCAAAGCACAAACCAAACCCACTGCCGTAGAGTCGATTCTGACCCACAGCGCCCCTAGAGGACAGAGTGGAACTGCCCCACAGGGTTTCCAAGGCTATAATCTTTATGGACGCCGACTGCCTCATCTTTCTCCTGCAGAGCAAGTAGTGGGTTCGAACTACCAACCTTCCCATTAGCAGCCCAGCCGTTAACCACTACACCTTCAGGGCTCCTTAACCTAACTATACTTGGGCCAAAATGGAGTCGTCTGTGCTGAGCCCTCAAATAAGAGTGGGCAACCTACTTCCATAGAGATACCGCCTCCGAAATCCAAGGAGGGCTCACTATGAGTCCGATCAACTGCACGGCAGTGAGTCTGGTTTTTTGTGCATGTTGAGCCCCGTGTCAGCAAACTGAAACCCAACTCTCTGTTTCTCATAAATGCCTAACCTTCTGGGAACCAAAATCCATATCCATCAATGCAGTCTCCCAGAAACAGAAACCCAGACTAGCCAGTGAGGACTTGGGTGCACCAAGTTCAAAATGTTCCCTTAATCCCAAATAGGGAAAGAAATTGCCCAACACAGCTTCCTTGCTAATGTGTGTCTGAGCTGACAAAAACCCTGCAGCATCGTACCACTCTTGGGAGCTCCGGTCTGACACTCAGACCAGATAGACTGTCTCCTCAATTCATGAATTGCAAAAACAAACAAACAAACAAAAACTAACTGAGTTCTTCCACAAATTTCATATTGTAGAATTCTGATTTAAGTTATCATGAGGACTGCATGCAAGGCATTTAAAAGGCTGCCTGGCAGATAGATAGTACCATATATGTGTTAGCTGTCAAGATTCTTTTTACTTTTATTATGAGAGCCAGGAACTTACGGAGAGAAAGAGGGTATGTGGAAATAGAAAATTATACTTATGATCTTAACTACATAAAAGTCTATATATTCATTCATACAGTGGCACAGAAGACAAGACTAGAAATTACTATGTAGAATAATGTCAATAGGAGCTGTGGCAGTGTAGTGCCTAAGGCATTTGACTGCTAACCAGAAGGCTGGCGGTTCAAACTCATCAGCCACTCTGTGGAAGGAAGGTTGGGCAATCTACTTCCTTAGTGATACCGCCTCAGAAACCCAAGGAGGGGTTGCTATGATTCAGGGCCAACCCAATGGCATGTAACAATAACATAATGTCAATGCCAAACGAAACGGAAGAGGTTAATTCGATACGCCTTTGAATTTCTTTTCATTTGTCACTTTTCACATGTTAACAAGGAACTCAGGTACGTGCTCAGCTGCTAAATGAGAGATGGGTTCGAACCCACCCATCAGCTCCCAGGGAGGAAGACCCGGTGATCTGCTCCTACAAAGACTACAGACCAGAAAACGTTAGGAGGCACTTGTGCTCTGTTAGATGGGGTCACTTTGAGTTGAAAATCAACTGGACTGTACCCCATAACAACAACAGAACAACAACAATGATTATTTTAGGGTGCTGGCTTTGTGGGTCATTGTTAGTTTCTCATTTATCCGCTTCTGCATTTTATCACATTTTTCCTATCTTACTTTATAATAACATTTTTAATTCTTGAAGTTCAAACCAAACCGGTAAGATATCATCCAATTTTACTTGAGAATTAGACATCTTGCACTTGATTTATTTTAGTTTTATCACATATAACAAGACGTTACCCGCAGATGAAGTAATGTGTTTACCAGGAAAGCTCGGTGGGTGCAAAGAGGAAAATAGGATTTTACAGAGATGAAGGATCCCCTCAGAGCATGACATTCCTTCTGTCAGCAGAGTTGCTGAGCTAGACATCCAGGCAGGGCCCACTGAGATGTGACCATGCCTTTCCTTCCTCCTCTGAGTCTATATTTTTGTCTC